AGTGATAATATAAAACTAGAGCTGTACTGGTTTTCCTCGGATCAAGAAAACAATGCCTGGAATATTGGGGAAAATGCCCACGGTCTGTGCTTTTTCATGTTTCTGTATCCTGACAGTCAGTGAAACGGCTCTCTGTTTAAATGCCTTCGCTTCAGTATTTCCATGATCACAGGAATCCAAACACCTTGTGCGGCTTTTCACTGAACAACTGAATCATAAGACAACTGAATTATAAAAGTACTTTTGGATCATGTAGCAGGCTTGTTAAAATATAGCTGGACGGGCCCTTCTGGCAGACTTGGTTCCCTAAATGTGGATTGGGGACCAAGGATTTGCAATTCTGACTAAGCCCCAGGTGATGCTGATATTGGTGGTTCTGGGCCCACGCTCTGGACACTGACTGCCTTGCATGATTTCTCTTTAGCTGTGAAATACACACCAAGTGAACTCAGTGTGTCCTGAAAGACAGAATTATTTTGTCGAATGCAAACAGACCGATGGCAGTTGATCTGTCATGTAAGATCTGAGTCTGTCTCAGAGTAACACTGCATCACAATACTAGGGAGAAATTGGGTAGCTCTTTACCAAAAGAAAGCATTAAACTACACGACTATCACATCCATCATCCAATTCTCTTCCAGGTTGGATAGTGTTTGAAACCAGCTCTGTAGGACTGTTACTTCCTAGTTTACCCTCCTCTCCTTTTACTCTGTGGTTATCTGAAAATTTAAACAACAGCCCTGATAGAACCTGCTTCCTGGTAGTTTCCCTATACCTTACACTCCCTCAGCCTGCCCCATGCACTCAGAATTCTTAATCAGCTAAAGGCAGTTACAGGTCACTAGCCCCTAGCTAATTTGTTGGGGGGGGGGGAAGTCTTCAAAAAGTTCACAGAAAAATGTGTATTATGAAAAAATTCTAAATGGATTTAAAATCTTATACCAAAATAAACTTGTACTTTAATTGCATTTTCCATGAACTTTATGAAGCCCCCCGCCCACAAATTAAGTTATGTTAGTAAAGAAAAGTTACCTAGATGCTTTCTTATTGAAGCAATCACTTTAATGTCCCTGAAATTTCTCAAGCTGTAACGTTGTGCCATCCAGATGATATGAGCATTACCAAGGCTTTAGAAAAGTAAGTATTAAGATGAAAATAAATTAGACCGGAGGGTGGAAAGGGTGTTCTAAGTAGAGAGGAGCGTCTACTTCACTTAGTAACATCCATTTTTAGACCAGGAAGCAATTTGTTCAGATTCTGCTTGCCCTAGAGAGGCAGGCTTCCTTCCAGGGTAAGAGAAGGATGCGGGAAGGGGAGTAACCATGGCAACCTGCCCAGCTATGTGGGCAAGGATAGTATGGGGCTGGTACACACTCTGAAGAATTTTTATTTCTAGCCCAGTCACTTAGTTTAGTCCGGGTGGTCCCCATTTCCCACTTCCTTCTGCTATAATGCTGACTTCAGGGGGAAGAATTGCTCCTTCTCTGTAGGGAGTCTGAGAGGGTGTGGGGTAAACTTAGAGACCAGCAGAGGTCAGCTTGACCAAACCCAACCCGGCAAGCTTCCAGGCAGAGAACAGAGAGTAACTTCCCTGCCTGCTCTAGCGTGAGCACTAGCAAACACACTGACGCTGTTAACATTAAGTGCTTGAATGATTAACATTTTTCAGGTGAGCGGTATCCAGTTTTGATGAAGAAATTCTCCAGTTGCCTTCAGTTCTCAAAATAGAAGACACAGATAATTCAGTTGCTCAAGGGAGGCAAAACCACACAACCAACTAAACAAAAGTTTCTAAATCAGATAAATAAAAGGTATTCTAAGTATATTCGAATTAATGTCTTCACAACATCCCCAGGGTAGGTACTATTATTCTCCTCAGATTAGAAAGTCACGTACAGAAAGGTCACTCAGTGTGCTCAAGGTCATGTAAGCAGCAATTGTCAGCTGGCATCTGCACTTAGGCAACAGAACTTCAGAACCGCCAGTCCCAACCCCTGCCTGACTGTGCTAGGTGGGAGGTAGCAACTAGCGATGTGAATGGTGAGCCTCTGTGTCCACACTAGCATTACTGTTTCCCTTACCAAGAATTTGCCCTTTTTTTAAATTTTTTTGTCTTCAAGATGGAGACTTGGTAGCCTGCCTTCCTTTTGATTCACATGATTAACCCAGTCGGGATACACTACCATCAGTTGGGTTTCTCTTAAGCATACATGTCTGACACTGAATCTATTTCATCTAGATGTGATCTTGGCTAACCTCTATGCAATTCAGTAGCATAGCTTCAGCTTTCAAATTACAAAGCAGCACCAGGGAGAATTTTAAAAGACTGCATCCTGTTACTCAGGTGGCTCATAGTGCCAGTCTGCTTCCCATGCTGGTTCTGTCTGAGGGGCAGAACACCTTATGTGTTTGGTCAGTTACCTAACCCTCCTGGGCCCATCAGCTTTCAAACCTTTCTAGCTGGGTAGGTGTGTTCTGATGAACATTAGGGCAACTTAAAAGCCCTGGAGAGTTCAGTCTTCAGCAGCCTTCCCAAATATTTCACATCTTTAAGGAAAACAGTAACAAAATCCTCAAGTCAATAGAATGAGGAAGAGAAACACATGGAGCCTTCATGACTCTCCAGGTAAAAATACCAGTGGTAGCAAACATAGGCTTATGGACATATGAGGCTAGAATTAGAAATGAAGCAGGATGTATTCACAGTCTGAGTGCACCCATGTCTTTACAAAGCCGCCTGTTGGCCAGGAGCCACTCAAGGCAGATGTTTTCCTATTCTCTGAATCTTCAGGTAATTGAGTCATGGCTAGCCAGTTGGTCAGCCACTTCCACAGGTCCCTGTACCACTTTCATGCCAACAAGTGCCTTAAAAGCAATATCCTTCAAGCCAACAAGGCGACTGAAGTCCATTCAACCTTGAGAGAAGACAACAAACAAGCCTCATGCACAGGAGTTGACACTTTCAGTTTAATCTAAAACTATAAAAAGTCTTTAGCAAATATGCAAACTCTGGATTTAGTCCTTAACAGACCAGGCATGGCTCCTCACTCACATTTGCTGTGGATCCCTTCCCTTGCTTATATGCACAGGTAAAGATGAACTGAGTCCATGATCACCAGAATGGCAAATGCATGTATCAGAACTCAAGTTTGGAAGCTACTCCTACACTACTTATTTATTCTGGTCAAACATTAAAATGTAGGAGGTAGAGCTTAGGGAGGGTTGGTTTCTTTGGCAGTCATTTGGGCAAGAGAAGATCAAACTGTGAGTGGGAAGGAAAAATTAAGTTATTCACCAACAACAGGAAAAAGAATCTAGTCAGCCTTGGGAGGAAACTGATTTTGGGAGAAGTGGTCTGTCCCAGAAATACATATTGGAAAAGACCACTAGGTCTCCTTTTTGCTTTCTCTAGGAGACCTTCCACATGGGACTCTCCATGTTCATTAAATGTGGCATTATTTCTATTTCCACCACTTCACCAAAAATGTCCTTTCCTAAATTTTTGGTAGAGCTCAAATCTCAAAAACACCTGAATTTGCAAGGCAAAAATCTTTCTTATAGGTCACTGAGGCCTATCTCTCTTCAGTGAAAGGGACAGACAGAACCCGAGGGGAGGGTGGGGTACTGGCCTGAAGAAGGGTGACATAGTCAAGGTCTGGCTGTTGGAGAAATTAGAGAGCATGGCTGACAAGCTATTTGATAACTATAGAGCTCCCCTATTTCCAGCAAGTCTCTCCCTCCCCAACAGCCAGAAAATGCTTCTGTGTGGGGTCGAACTCAGGATTGTAAGGAAGATCTATTACACATTCATCAAGGCCAGTCCAGGAGCCTTATCAGACATCTCCAAGGTATTTTGTAGCTGCCTTTTTTCTCCTGCCATTACTTCTGTTTGAGTCAGTTATGTCTTACCTCCCTCCACCCCTTCCCAGCTTTGCCTGATTAGGGCCAGAAATTTTTTCATTAAGTCACTTTATAGAGCAATAGCAACATTTACTATTCATGAAGTCGCCCCTCCATCATTTTTAAGTCTTTCCATGTGTCTGGAAGCTTGTTTGGCTCTTCTCATTTTACAGAGTGGCTCTCTTCCTTCCAAACACAAACTTCCAAACACAAACTAAAAAGAAAGAGGAAAAGGTGGGGGGTGGACAGGGTGGAGGTAGCATCCAGATTCTCTACGTGTTTCTAATCCAGTTAAATTTCCCTTTGGACTCAAACAGCTAGCTCCCTGCTGAAACTGACTGTGGACCTGAATTCCAGGCTAAGAATTAAGAGGGAAAGACGGCAGAAACAAATAACAGAGTCAGCTCTATGCTATGAAAACCGCTATGTTGACTGGGGTTCCTTGGTTTTAACCCATTCATTTTTCTCGTCCTTTTCTAGAATTCTTAATCTTTCCAACCAGCTTTCAGGCAGGAAGGCAAGCACCATTTAAATGTTGCTCCCTGCTTCACAGACTTAAAACAAGTTTGTTAAGTCCCTTGGGCAGATACTTTCTTAGGAATGCCTGTGTAAGACAAAGTTCACATTTTAATGCGGCACGTTATCAGTCACCAAGAAAGAGCTCCATGAGCTCCTCTTAGGCACAAACCAGGTCCCCAGCCTTTGTCACAGCAAAAATAAACACCCTTGGAGTGGAGGAGTTAATTAGGCGGTCATGAGCCACACCAGCATCCTTCCAGGGCTGCCTGCAGAGCTTTTAAACAAGCACAAACACACAGACACACGCGCGCGCGCACACACACACACACAGACACACACGCACACACAAGGAAGCTCTTGTTAAATGTTACAAGCCTGGCATCTGGAGTCCGACCCCAAAGGTAAATGTATTCGGTGGAAGCATTCCTCAGATGTCAGGCCACAAAACCACTTGTTTCTCCAAGTACACTGTCTCGTTTCTAAGATCCCCACAGCCCAAGGTCTGTAGGCAGAGAAGGGTGAGAGGAAGAGAGCAAAGGAGAAACGAAGCCAAAGGCAGGAAGGCTTTCCGAGCTACTCACAGGCTTGCTAGCGCCTCTGCGGAGCGAGCATGACTTCCCCGCGCCGGAGCCTCCGGGCTGCAGCCCAGCCGACACCGCCGGCCCGGCTTAAATAGCTGCCGGCCAGGGAGCTTCAGAGCGGCGCGGCCACTCCCGGCGAGAGATATGGTTCTAATCAGATGCTGGCAGCTGAGGACTCCCCAGGAATGTGCCGGGATGTTTTTGCTGCTTGGGCTTGGTAACTCCCCCTCAACGTGTCTGCTGAGTCTTCCAAACTTAACTGTTTATTAACTCGCACGGCAGCCACGCAGAGGACACGACTCCCGGGGGCGAGGGTGGGGGGGTGGGGGGGAGATGGTGCAAATAAGGACAGGAAAGGGAAACTGCAGGAAAGGGGTGGGATCCACCGAGCTGCGCTGCAGAAATCCGTTCCCTGGATTGCCACTTCGGGTGATGTGGCACAGGGAGTCACGCTAGCCCAATGGGGCCCTTTGAACAAAGGGCTGCCCTTACTCCAACTCTTCTGACAAGGGGTAGGGAGTCCTAGCGCAGTTCTGCTGTTGCTGAAGTTCATAGTGCGACTCCCCCTTTGAAGAAACTGGTGTCTCTTTATTGCAGAGGTGCATGCACTCAAACTGGTGGGAAATCTCTGCGTGTTTGGGTACAACATGCTGTACTTATATATGAAATATAATCCCGTACAGATATAAAGCCGATACCTTACTTAGGAAATCAATAGAACCAAAATAAGTTCACGTCTGTGTAACTGCCCTAACTAAGCTAAATTTCAGATACACACAGAGAGCAGGTACTGGCTTCCCTTACACTTTCCGTATCTCCATATGTAGACACACAGCAACTTTATCTGCGCCCATTTCCACAGTGTTTCCTGTACCCCCATGGAAAACACGAGATGGGAGAAGGAAACTATTTTAAAATACTGATGTGCAGTGCTCAGCCGTCCAAGGCGTTTTGCAGTATACATTTTAGCAGGGATTAGGCTGATACTTCATTTTCTCTTTTTACTATCAAGGACAGTTATAAACTATCACAGAAGCTCTGCTGCTTTTTAAGAATTTTGAAACGATTCTTGTAAAAGATATGCCTTTCTACCTTTGTGTACGTGCGTGTGTGTGAGTGTATGTCAGCGGCGGTATGTACTCAATGTGAAAATGCCGCAATTTTGACTCAGATAGGAGGGGGTTATTGCTGTTATTGAGTAAGCAACACAGTGGATTTGCATTTTACCTCTGGATACTGAGGGTTCAAATCGGGCTCATGGGACACCAAAGATGTATTTGTGGTCCACATCTAGCCCTGACTGCAAAGCCACTGTGTAATTTGGGGTAGCACAATGTGAGTGACAGTCGCTGGTATGAAGTAGGTCAGGCTTGGAAGGGCCAGCGTGTAGGGGAGATGGAGGGAGGCAGAGGAGCCACAGCTGGTCCAAAACATTACATCTCTGGCCTATTTCTTGCCATGAATCCCATTCCCCGCTTACACCTAGGGGTGCGGGGGTGAGAGGGTGGTGCTGACAGTTTTCAATGTTCCTCTGAGGTAATCTGCTATCATTTAAACATTACATCTCCTGGCCTATTTCTTGCCATGAATCCCATTCCCTGCTTACACCTAGGGGTGCGGGGGTGAGAGGGTGGTGCTGACAGTTTTCAATGTTCCTCTGAGGTAATCTGCTATCATTTAGGAAAATGACTTCATGTGAAAGGCAAGAGGTATATAAATTTTAGTTCTAGGATAGTATTTATAGCATTTATGCAGATAACTTTGATTCTGGCACATCTTGAGACATAGTATTTTATTTCTAGGGTCTAGAAGTCCAGAGAGGTGGTTTTACTTCTGAAGACTTAGGAGCCAGGAAAAGGGAAACTGGCTTCAGGCGAATGAAGGCTTTGACAATTCAGAGAAATGGGTCTCTCTTTTAACTTCAACAGGTAATATTTTTCTGAATTCAGAGGGTCTCACCCAATCCTACTTTTTAATTTGAAAGACTTTTACCAAGAAATGCTAACTTATGCTTGCTCTAACCCCCACTAAATGGAAGGGATTTGTCTTAAAAAGCTAGAGGAAGAAAATGATTTCATCTGCTATGAGCTGTAATTTCAAGAGAAAACTGGCGAAAACAGCTCATTTATGAGCAGTGGACTTGCACATTCAACTGCAAATGGACACCTCTTGCTTTACACAGAAAACGTAAGAGTCGACAGTGGAGAATTCTGGTTTTGAAGTGTGTTTTTATATCTCTAGGGTGCTGATATTGCTTTGGCAGTAATTCAATGTCCTGCTCACATTAAAGGAAAAAAAGGGAATGAAAATAAATGTAACCCTTTCTGTCCCTGTTGAAACATAGCCTCCTGTCAGATCTAAGTTGTTCATTTTTCTTTCTCTCTCTATTTTTAAAGTTTCTCCTTTTCTTTCAAGAAATGGAGAGAGAGAGAGAGAGAGAGGTGTACCACAACAAGGACCTTCATACCACAGTCAGTTTCAATCAATCCAGATCACAGGTCTCACAGGTATGCCTGTCTATACCCAGCATGCTCAGGGAAGACCCAGGATGGGAACTGAGGAACTTACTGTCATGGGTCCACATACATTATCATGCACCATCACTTGACCCTTTTCACTCTTCCAGTAGCTCTAAGATGAACCATCTGGTGAATCATACCAAACCCTGCCCCAAATGCTCACCCTGCCTAAATAATGTTTTTTTCTTATCACCACCAAAATTCTTGTTTAGACAATTAGGAAGAGGAAAGTTCAATGCAATGTTTGAAAAACTCTGGCCCTTAGTTGGCAATCGTCCGTTGCACAAAACCTGCCTGTGAGTGTTCCAAAACCCTGGCGGGGGAAAGGGGGGGGGGGGGTTGAGGGGTGGGGAAGACGACATACTCCCAGCCTAGGAAAGGGGTAGTTAATCCCATGATGACTTGCTGAAGAATGCATGGTTTATTATTAAAGTAATCTCTTAAGATTTTCCTGGAATGTGCTTCCACAGCAACTCTGCCTGTGTGAGCTATCCTATGTGTGTGTCTTCTCTTCCATAGTCAAGCTGTTTTTTCCCCCTTTAGCTCACAGACTGCATACTTTGTCTCTCCCCTCTCCACCTCTTCTATTCCCTTCCTGCACTCTTGGTTACTATAATTTCCCATTTTGAATCCAGCTCATGAAAAGTAAGTGGCACTTTGGAATTGGCCATCAGGTAAACTCTGCTGGGTACTTAGAGATGTGCAAATCGACAAGGATGGTTTGAACTAGGTCTAGCAGTTTTTTCCTCACCCTCCATATAGTTCAAACAGGAGAGAGAGAGAATAACTATTGTTTCCAGAAAACTTTCTTTGACCTTGACTGGTTCTTACTTAACATTGCAGAAAAACTGACCCTATCAGATTTGGCTGCTGGCAAGGTAGGAGAAATATTAGAGGATTTTTTTATGCCTCTATCTATCTATTTATCTATCTACCCATCATTCTACCTACCTACCTATCTATCTGTGAAATCTAAAGTATTTAGAGGGTAGTCTCTTTGAAACCAGCCTGCTTTTTTTGTTGGTTGCTTTCTTTGTTGTATTTGCGTCACCCCTCACACTCAGTACTGTATGCTTATTTGCTTACAATGTACAATATTAGCGAAACTCAAATGGTAAAGCTGTAGAGTACTTGGAAAAAATTGGAATGTTGTAAAGTAGAGGGCATTTGAAATTCTGTATTATAGAGCCAGCCTTATAAAGCCTCGTGATGATGGGAGTTGGGCCCCATGTGGCTGGACAAAGTTCACATCCTGGTCTTTATAATAGCTTGAAAAACATGCCAAGTAAATGTATGTGCCCAAATTCCAAGAGGAAAGAGAAATAGAGGAGGCAGCAACTGCAGGCAACCATGCCCCATTGGAGTATGCAACCTCTCTCTCTGTCTGTCTCTGGCAAACACACATGCCCTCTGGCAATTAAAAAAGTTCAATTTTATAAATTTATGTAACTAATTAGACTTTGCTACCAATGTACATTTATATGATAAGAAATTTTCAAGAGGTAAAGTGCTCTTACTGTCCTAGAAAGAATGTATTTCATAAAGCATACATTGAATATGTATACGTACATATTATAGAGTATATTAAAAATAGGCATATATCAACTATATTTAAATAAAACAAGTATATGTAATTTACAAGGATGTTAATTGCTGCATCATTCATTGCAGCAGGAACCTAAGAACAAACTATGCCTCTCAATGGCAGATGATTGACGACTAAGTTACGATTCATTGACACTGTCAAATTGTATACAACTGCTCTAAAGAGTAGAGTACAACTTCACAAGAAAGTGTTTCTATTACTAGGGAAGTATTTCTATTAGCTTTCCTGAGTGAGAAAAGCAAGATACCAAAAAAATGTAAAATATGCTTTTATTTTAGTAATAGAAAAAGCAACACCTACTCATGTGTGGTCTTCCAAAAGTTCATGGAAAATTAAGAGTAAGAAGAAACTGTACATAGATTTCCAAATTCTTTGGCACCAAAAAAAAACACCTCATATGTTTATTTCACTTTCTCATGAAATTTTTGGAGTCTTCTCTCATATATCTGAGTATGTGTATTTCTACGTGTGCACACAGAGTTATTGAGGAGACTAGAGAATAGGTTGCAATATAGATTCTAGGGGCCTGGAGAAGATGAGAAAAGAGAAAAGGAATGAGAGCCATGCAAAAAGAGAAAAGAAATGGAAATAGTCTATATAGATATAAACTCAGGTCACATTTATTCATTGAAGTGAAATGATACATGCATGAGTTTGTGTAGTGTTTTAAAAATACACCATATGATTTTACAATAAGGCAAAAGAGGAGATGGAAAATAAACCCCCAGAGTAGCTTTCATTGAGTCTTCGTGCAGGTCTTTTGAAAGTAGTGTTCATTAGTATTCCCTTTGTTTCATTCAGTTCTAGAGAAATAGTTTTCACACTTCCATGTTCACAACATCCTGGGAGCTGATGACATGAGTGAAATCCTGGGCTACCCTCAGAGGCCCCTCTGGAAAGGGTTGTGTATGGAGTACTTGGGAATCTGTGGGCTAAACTGTATTTCCACAGATTTGGATGCTGCATTTCTCCTGCAGTCAAGAGGATACTCATTGCTCACTCTGTGCAGATGAGTACTACGTGGAGAGGCTGAGAGAGAGATTCACTCACAGTCAGATCCTCAGATTGAGAAGGCACGTGCCTCCACAGGCTCTTGCTTCTGGTGATGATTTCCC